TATACATAAAGTGTCAACATGACAAGATATAATCAAAAGATAAATTTATCAATAATACCTACATAGGTCACTATGGGTTTAATGCTCATCGGTGAAAATGCATTATAGTAATATTTTAACATTACTTTAAAAGTGAATAATAATAATAATAATAATAATAATAATAGTAATAATACCTATGTGTATAATTATTATTAAAATGTGTTCAGCAGCTGATTTGTACACGATAAGTACCTAGCGTTTAAAATATTCATTAGCCACGTTATTATTTATTATCCGACAGTATTTATAATTGTCTACAAGTAGATTGAATTTGATATGTTACCTACTATGTTAGTATACATGGGTAACTATAATATGTTTGTAATATGTTAAATTAATCTTATTATTATACGGTGGATTTACTACGTATTATACGCAGTTTGTTAATTTGTGAATGAATATTAATTATACTTATTTTATATGAAGTATAATGTTTGTTATGTTTATAGCTTGACGTATAAACGCTGTTCGTAAATTGGGCTGATTTTTTGATTTCTGACTACTTAATTGTAAACAGCGTTTGCTCCGGAGGATTAATCACAAATTAAAAAAGTATACTTACATCTTACATTACATCATTTGTTTTTTGTTACCTGCGATTTCATATTTATTCATTACATATTTTATTAGGTTGGTAAGTATATATTTGTTTATAGGTACCTAATAAAAATGGCTTTGAAGCATATTACTTATACAAATAAGTAATAATACTTATTATATGCTTAAATTGAGACTAAATGTGGTATTCATTGATAATAAATATCGACTATCTTACCTAGCTATATAATCAAAAACATAAAAATCGGTGTCTTAGATCAGTTTATTATATCTTAAGCTTTTGATAAAAAATCGATGTAAATTTCTTTTATTTCTATTTCTTTTAGAATTTTGTTGGTCTAAATTTAAATTTTACTGTTGGAACAAAATTAATTAAAATTTTTTTTTTAAATGGTACAATTTTTTAAACCTTTTATTTGATAAACCAATATGATGTTTTGCTCTCCTGTAAAATGTAGGAAAAGTAACTTATATAGTGCCTTTATAAAGAACGCCTATTTCATTTTATAAATTGAGATGTATCACATTATGTCATTACTATCATTATGTATTTGCAGCTATCAAATTATAAACCTAAGGGTAGCTTTGAAGAATTTTTATTTTTATTTTACAATCTAAAATTCTAAACAATATTTATTATAATATGCATAATAATTAAGGCCACAGAGTATTTTTATTTTTTACGCAAAGCGTTATACCTATTTTCTACTCTTGGATTAAATAATAAAATGCTTGTTATAAAAAATATTTGTAGTTGGTATAATCGTACAGTTAAAGTGTGGAAATGAAATGAAATCTTTTTATTGTTATTCCCTTGACTCTTAAATGGTTTTACTTTTTAATTAGACATCAACTATTTGTTAGATTAAATAACATGAGTTAACGAGTTCGTTAACCAAGGTCTTGTATATTTACGGTTCCAAATAGCATTATGATAATAGTATTACACAAGTTAGATTTATTATTGTTTAAAAATTGTCTTTATACACACTACATCGCAATACTGCTACCTAATCAGAAGCTTTGGTTATCACACTGATGAGAACATTTCTGATTTTGATTTCATATAAATGTAATAAGTGAGGTACAATTAAATGTTTTAGAGTACAATTTCGTATAATATTAAATTTTTTAATAAGTATGATTAAATATCTAATAATCAAATTGGTATAACGAGAGTATATTATTGAACATACAATATATGCTTTATATTTTTAATGAAACAGCATAAAATTATATATATCATTATATAGGCCTATTTTGTTTAAAATTTTCCTTATTGATTTACCTACACAGAATTTGTAATATTTTGAAACTAAATATAATACTGGACTAAAATAAGACAACAGTTAATTTTTTTCGAAAAAAATTTAATTATTATTTATTTAATTATTTCAGCATAATTCAATAGTATATTTACTTAAAATCAATTAAAATAATATGAGGTGATACTTTTACCAACTGATTTATGCTCTTCCATCTGGTATATAGGAACCTGCTATAGAAATTACAGAATTAATCTCATTAGCTATTTGATAAAATAAAAAAAAAATTATTGCTCAGCATTGGTTTAAACTATATTTATTGAATACACGATATATTAATACCGGGTTAGGTTAGATATCATCACTAAACATTTAAGGAATCCATGGTAAGCTAATGGCTCCTTAAACATGATTTAGTGGCCAACGATTATTCCATTACATTTTAATGAATCATTAATCAATTTGTCCACGAAATAATATTATACTTAGGTATTTAACATGCTAATATTAAATGAAATGCTTGAACATCAATCTAAAAATAATTAAATAATCAATATGTGTTATACATTTAATAATTTAAAAAAGTATTTCAACTGTAGTTATTATTATTCATTATATTAATAAACAACAGAAGATTTTTGGTAAAAATCGTTGTATATTTGAATGATTTAATATTTTGTGTCAGATATTAAAATATTTCTCAACTTTTTACCTACCATACATTTTCATATGCCTATTATATGTTATATCACAGTACCACTTCTTGATGTGTAATACGATTTTACAGAAAACATTTCTCAAGTAGTCTGATTCAAGGTCTGGAGATGTCTCATGTGATTATAAAATATTTTCCCAAAGACCTTTTTTTTTGTTTTAAGCTAATTGAATCTTAATGTTTTTATGATAATATCATATATTATTATCAGATTAATTACTGTTTAAGTATAGAAATAAAATATATTTCCCTAAGCATTATATACCATAAAATATATGTATTCATAAATATGACCGGCTTTACAATTTTAACTATCAAAAAGAAAAAATTAGTAGGTACATAAATCTAAGTGAGTAGTCGCCTAAATATGTTACACATTCCTCCTATATAAACATATCTTTTATAGTCGGAACTGGTAAGACATATGCCTTAGAAACGTTATAATTATAAATTATTTTAATTAAACAATATAGAATAGTTATTTGGAATTCGAATCAAAAGCGTGCTTGCATACCGAAAAAAGTTATTATTAATGTTATATTTTAAATCTGTTACATAGTTTCAGCTATATCTTAATTCTTATAATATTTTAAATTTTGCAAAATGAATATTTAATAAATAAATATTTCGATAGTTTTATTTTCATCTTTAAATTTTTAAATGTTCGTTGTTCGACTTATTTACAACCAATTTACTAATAGAACAATGTAGTGAAAATTTGAATTTTCTAGAAACATTAATTGTTAATTATTGTAAATTTGCTGAAATTCTGTCGTGTACAGTATATTTTTCAATAAATATTTTTAATTTTTTTCCGAAATAGCCAATAGGTATACAAACATGAAGAGTACAAGAAAGTATGATCAATACAAGTATTAATTTTTTCATTTTTTGAACACTTTTTCACTGGCTTATATTTTTTATTCTATTGTTATATTATTGATAATATTATGATATTGGTGATTTTTTTAAGAAAACTCATTTCTCATTGTTTTAAACATTTTTGTAAATATTTTTTTAATATAATTTAAATAGTAATTTATTGTCAAACAAATTTTTAATCTCTAAAAATTTGTAATGTTTTTAATTTTTTGAATGACATATATTTTCAATTTCGTATTCCGATTCATAATTTTTTTTAAAGAATAAATACATATACCTATACCTATGCACATTTTAATTTTTGAATGAGTAGTTAGTTTTTATGTTTTAATGAGATTCTAACATCGATAAATAATTATGTAAAGAGTAAGTTAGTTATAACTTATAATTATGTAAAGTACAGATGAATAAACGAATTCAATAAAAGACAAGCTTAAAAGAAAAACGATAAAAAGAGGAAAAAGTTTTTTTAACTTCAAAAATATTTCTCAAAACGATAATATATTTCTAGAAAACAAATATTTACCTTTAAAAATATCACTCAGTACATATAATTATATATATTTTTTACTTAATTTTGTACCAACTATTATGGTAGGTACCTATATGACATAGTTCGGATCGGAATGATTGTCCCAACATTTTAAAAATCCACCAAAACCTCGACAAACGCGAGTGAATCCATTCGTCTAGATATCTACCGACTACGGGCAGGTTATTATAATCAGGCATGTACGAGATAGTTTTGAAATGTATAAAATAAATAGTACGTTATAACGTGTTTGCACGCAACGAGTCAAAAACTTTACGTGATATTTTTTTTTCGAGAATCGGTTTTGTTAACTAACTATAATAGGTGTATATAGTATAGGTATGAAGTACAAATCTCACGGAGGAGTTGAACGTTAACATCGCGGTCCGTATTCAAGTGAACTGCCCAGAAATACATATAAAACTATATTCTCTATTGACTATTAGTTATATTAAGAACTACGAGTGTACAGGTTTAAACAACACGCGATAATATACGATAGGTAATATTATGCGTTTATGGCGACCGATCGGCGGACGAGTGACGAAAACATTGTAAAGGCGGCAATGACGATAAAAAGAAAAAAATGTATTACCTACGACAAAACATCATAACAATCGCACAGCGCAGCGATGACGTTTGTACTGCACGCGCTGACGGCTGCTTCTGCGGCGGCGACTGTGCGCAGGTCGTGGGCGTCAGCGCCCGTCGCACACGGGGTACAATATCCGTCGGCGACGACGCGGCGGCGGCGTCGAAGGCGCAAGTACGTCATACGCACGCACAAGACAGACGCGACCTCGTGACGAGACGCCGCCGCCGCCGCCGCCGCCGCCGAGCGTCTCCGCGGACGTCCTCCTCGTGAAAGTGCTCGTCTGCACGCCGTTCGGGGGGATAGACCCCACTGCGGCGGCGCGCGCTGGCGACGGCCGATGACGTGTTTCGCCCCCACGGCCGGCGGCCAAGCTTTGGTCTCGGGCCTACTATAAATAATCGCGTGCTCCCGAAACAGACATTCACAGTCGACCCGTTCGCCGCACCAACAGGGACGCACACCACTGCTCGCCATCGTCGTCATCACCGCGTGTATTTTTTTTATTCCATTAAAAATAATATTCGTACGACGCGTCGTCGAGCTTTCAAGTCTGCGGAGTGTGTTCTCGTACAGTAATATAAGTGTGATTCGTCAGCGAATTTAATTTTTTTGTGCACTTCTACACCAGCGGTGTACACCGCGGCAGATACCGATCGTCATATCCTCTCGTCGGCTAAAAGGTAAGACGTGACTCTATTTTGTCACTGCTGCAATAGCGGATAGGCATTATACTATATTATTGTACAGATACAGTCGGCCACCATTATTGCCGTTATTATAAAATCATTTTCCACCGTGCGATTCGTCCGTGCATCTTATACATTCGTCTTCGGCGGAAACGCTGTCTAATCAATATCTTAACATTTTCCATACAATACTATACGCCCGTGTACTCGTAAAGTACACAGCAAGTATTAGTATTTAAAATCAATGGTTATACTCGTAAGCAGTGTGAAAGATATAATTAACTTTTATAATTATAAAACTAATATTATTATATGGTGTTTGTCCAAATGCATTCTCCGAGTTGTAGCCATTATTATAATATTGTATTATTTACTTTACAACAGCAGTGTAGTAAAATAATAATAGTAGCCTTTTTGGTACCGACTAATGAACGTTCAGAAATGTCTTATATCGGTGTATTATTATATACGTCTTATTGGTACATGGTTATTCGATTATACCATGATGTTATATGATAACATGTGATCTTATACTTGCAACACTTGAGTATACCGTTCACCTTTATTTTTACATGTTTCACTAACTATTATCATTTCCATCGCCAATAAAATATTTTATCATCATTATTATAAGAAGATTTAGCAATTCAATTTAATAAATGGACATTTTTCATTTTTGTTTATGAATTTAAAATATTAAGCTTTATAATTAATAATTAATATATTATGTGTAAACTAAACGTTAGAAATAAAAATAAATATTGAAATAATTCTAGTATATTAAACCATCAATAAATATGAATAAAATGTAAATGCTTACAAAATTAACACTATATATTCATCGCACTAATTTTTACCAAGCTGTATATTGTTTTAAAAGCAATATTGTAATTAACATATAAGTTATTTTTTCAGTACGATAAACTACAAAAAAAAATCATTATTTTTGATAAAAATGTGAACAATTTAAAACAATTATCCAATGTCTGACACTTATATATACCAGACATTTCATATCTGGTTTTAAGTTTTGTATTACGAAGGACATAGCGACTTAAGTATATCGTACACCACAATAGTAATAAAATGTACCTACTAAAAACATTTAAACAATTTTTGTAAACCATCAATGCTTCATTTTAATTTAATTTAATAAAATATAAAATTAAAATCACAACATAATAAAGAATATTCAAAAAGAATTGAAAAAGGCGATGGCCATCGTCTGAGATGGTTGAAATGTAATTTCCATAATTCGGTATATAATAATATAGGAAACAATTCGTATAATTGTGTTTCATCAAGTTATTTTTGTAAATAAAACAGAGAAAATAGTATTATAATTTGATTTGAAACATTCTTTTTTACTAAAATGCTATTAAAACGATTTTGATAGGCAATTTTTCAATTTAAATGAATTACTTACCGTTATGAAATAGGACGAAAAATAAGACAAGTAATTATCGATTTATGTCACGGTGTGGTATCGAATACAATCCTATTTCGTTTGCATCGACCATTACCATCAATATACGCTGTCCGAGGAAACGAGAGAGCGAAATTGAGAGGTTCGGTAGACCGACAGCTGGCATAGGTATTGTGAGACAGGCGGCCTGATAATATTATAGTATTATACATACAGGTAGTTTGTCGACCGAAATTCGTTTTTAATTATTGTAACTCGGTACGCAAATATATTGTACGCAATAATAATAATAATAATAATATGCTATTGTGCACGTGTGGCAGGTCCACGTTCGTTCCCATTATAAAACATTGTAAATAATAAAACAAACGTCTAACGTCACATTATTATACATATATAGATACACAATATACACGGGTACCTATATATATATAATACTATTGTGCGGCCACCGGCGCTTACCCGTAAATCGTATAATTAACTGACATTAATCGGTTGCAAAATATCATCATCGCCGCGTTTTCAAACCGTTCGCTGGGTCGCATCCGAAATTGGAACGGTCGTATTTTTCGAGTGTGAGAAGAAATACACAGTGGCGTGTTATAATAATAACGGCGGTGAACAATCGTTCGGAAACGTGTGTTACGTGATTCTCGAGCAAAACGCTCCGCTCGAATTGGTAATATTTACATAGGTAGGTACATATTTCACAGTAACAATAACGTGAGCCTATCTATATTGTGTATAGGTTTTGTAGAGTTATTACGACACGACGACAAGCGTCCGAATTGACCGATCCGGGTCGCCGTTGGGATTCGAATATTAATAAAAACATGTTGACAAAGAATAGACCGCGAAGATGCCTACTATATCATTATAACTTTGAGTGAGATTCCAACCACCTCACGTTTATCAGTTCAGTAAAAAATACCGACCATTCCTCTGCTGCGGGTTAACGGCTTCAGTTTTTATTCACAAATCACCCGAGGGTATTTATTTGACATTTTTGCATATATTTTAGGAAAAAATATGACCACCGGTCAAACATAATAGTATTAAAATATAAATGGTCTTGTTATTACTATTATCACTTGGCGTCCAAGATCACCGTAACATTTACATAGCATAATATATAATAGATCGTTGAGGAGCGCTATCGATTACTCTCGTTTATTTCACATTTTCACCGGGTCGATCAATCGATAGCCCGCCACAACCTCGGTACGTGACACAAACAATTTAACGATCGAGCACAATATTATTATAATAATATTATGTTGTGACTTTATAATAATATATAATGATATGAACTCATCGACCCGATCGGATCGATATAAACGACGTGCTAGCTATCATATTATAAAGTTGCAGCTCGCGGGTCATAAAATAGGTACGAGTTTGAAAAAAAAACACATTAGCCTCGCAAAGACAAGTTGTTGACCGTACAGACTCCAAAAACAATGAATTCGATACGCTGCGGCGGCGTAAGCTATATACAATTCGGTTGTTATTACGATCGTTTCGTTTGGCCGAAGGTAAGCAAACAATTTAAAACAGAAGGGCCGCCGCCAGATTTTCCTAGTTCGATAACGATCTCGCAGACCTTACACGGTCACACGCGTTTACTCTTGAACTTTAAATTTTACACTGGAATGAACCACTAAATTGAACACCGCAATTATCGTGTTATAGGAACATTGACCAGACCGGAGGGTGACGATTATTAAAAAATAAATACACCTTTTTAACCATGTTAGGTGCCTAATCATATACACATGTATTGCGCGTGCGCATTTCGATTTGACACAGAACGATCGGAACTGATGACCCGAAGGACGTGTCGACGGGCATTAAAATCTTAGTTCTGCGCCTGGGCGATTTCGATCCAAACAGGAGAGATCATTAATAGAGAACATGTATAAATTTACCTATAATTGTTGTTGCACCATTATGCAGTTGTATCATTAAAACGCACACCATCACGGACAAATTAAATCCGCACTAAATCAACCGCAGACAATAATACTATAATATACCTATACCTGGCTACCTAACGTTGTCAAATGAGTTTACCAGCCGTTTTACCATCATAATATTATTGTATACTGTACCCAACTATATCATAATATTATTTTAATACTGTTGTTTTGGTTTTTTATGTTTTCAGGTGGTGGTGTGCCAATCATCATGAATACGTCTTTCTTGCGGTTGCTGTGTAAGTATCTTTAATAGTAACACGCGCGATCCATTATTATGATTAATCGACCACGTGATTGAAGCTCTTTTATAAAGCCACAACTATAATTGTATATGTGTATAAAGTAACTTCAGCAGATAATATGCGTGCGGGATTTGTGTGTATAAAATCAATAGCATCACGAATTCTATTGGTTTCTCTTCCAATTACATGTATCGAAGCATAGTATAAATGCTGTTCGATGTTCTTTTTTTTCGTGAAATTTCGACAGTGCAAATCGTAATAATTGCGTTCGTGATATTAGATTAGCTGTCGGATGCACGTCGAACACAAGTTATGTTTATAATAACATTTTACGATAAGATCCCGTGGCAATAATAATAGACGAGTGTGCCAATTCGTTGGCAGACGGTTTTCGCAATGAAATGCCGTAATTGGCATTAAACGACCTAGAAGGGTTATCGTAGATTCCCATCCCGAATACGTGTCGTACCCACTTCATGGGATAAATGTCATTTGGGAATGAATTTTATTATTTTTCCTGCTACGGCGGCGATTTGTGAACTTTCAAAAATCGTTTCACAACCGACAATGGGAATCTTTAAAAATAATAAAAATAAAATAAAATGTAAATATATCACATCTCTTCTCTCCGGTGGAGACGGTACACATATCGACTGTTATATTTCACCTAGGTTTTCAAAAGAAAACACGACGGTGACTGCAGTGTGCAAACATAGCTCGTGCATGAAGTCGTGACCGTGCGAGATGATGAACGGGACGACTACTCCGTCTCGTCAGCTGGCGGCTTCGTTGCTCAATTTGTCCGAATCCGGCAAACTAAAACGGCCGAGGCTTGCAAAACGGTCTTAAACAGACGGGTTACAATATTTGTTAATTTCGTTCGCCTTATTGTTAAGACTACACAACAATAAAATAATATTATATCGTCTGAGTAGATTAATTGTTCCACATGACGAGTTATACCGTCAAACTATAAGGAAGTCACAGCCTAGTGGTCAACAAGGCGTAAGTTCTGACAAAGAAGATTGTATCGCATAATATGTGATATAATTTTATTGAAAAAATGTATACGAGCGTATTGTATTAAATTTAAATAGTTTACATATCGTCATAAAATTAACTTCACAACCAAATTAGGCGTGACAGCAGTGCATTGAATACAATTATAATAATGAACAGCTATTTCGCAGTGTTTGTTGATTGTGAGACAACTAAATTGTTAACATTTAATATACGAAAATAGGCATTCCATTCTTTTTTTTTTTAATGGGTAACTTAAAAGTCAACGAAATTTATTAATAATTTAAATAATTTGACTGCATTTTTCGGTGATGCTTCCACAGTTCTATGGTTTATCTGAGTTTTAATATTATACTAGGTACATTAATCAGGAATAAGATTAATATTATCAGATTTTAATTTTAAATGATCAATACAAGGAAGTACAACTAAGCGTAATATTTGTTTTGATTAGGCCAATATCGTATTCATTTTAATCTAAAAGATAAAAAAATACTTTGAATAATATAAGAATTACAAATTCAAGAATAACTAAATTTATTTTAAAAATACATGAAAGCTGTTGAATTCAAATAATACCAATTGCACACATTAAATTGCTTCTTAACTGTTAGGAAATAATATTTCAGTACATGTACTTCTTTTAAAAACTCTCTGAAAATGTATTTCAAGTATAAAGAGAATGTTGGTGACTTAATTAGGTGCAGTGGGTAAATGGTGCCGTAGATTCGTGTATAAAATAATATCTTGCAATTAGTTAATATTTACAACATGCTAATAAAGTTCATTGCATAATTGTTGGTATTTTCGTGAGAAAATTCTTAAAAATATGTAGGGAATGAGGTCACCTGTTAAACAGGTAATGCTCGATTTTCACAAATTAGAATTGACGAAGTCAGTCATTAAAGGTAACAATAGTTTCTACAATTTAAGTGACATAATGTTTAAAACAATCTCAAACCTCGACAAGGTTAAACTCTTTGATCAGTTATCTAGTTAAATTATATGCACTAAATTTTTCTATTATTTCTAAGTAGTTCCCAAACTTACGTAAATAACTATTATTTTGTGTGTGTTTTCGGTTAAATAAACTTAATTAAGTATTTGTGTAATGGTTATTTTTTAATTTGTTTCAGGCACCCTATTTGCACTATCCCATTATGCATTGGTAAGTGTTTAAAATGCATTTGATATGTATCATTGCCTAATATATTTGATGTATTTATTTTAGGCACAAAGTGGTTATAATTACAACAAACCATCAAATCCCTTGAACGGCCCAACTACAGCAGTACCATACGGTAACGATGCATTAGTAGGTAAGCCATCGGGCACTAGTTATCCTACTTCATTCCCTACAACGGTTTCATCATACCCAACTCAGGCTGACCAATTTGGTTCTACCGGACCTACTGGTACGCCCAGTTTTACTGGTGGATATGGTGGCCAAACAGCCTATCCTACATCTGCACCTCAAGATTTCACTACTGCTAACTTCCCTAGTACAATCGCACAACGACCTGGAAACTTCCCCACTGGTTCAGGTTCATCGCCTGGATATGGCTCATCTGGTGATGGTTCTTCTGGACCGAATACACGACCAACCTATGGCCCAAGTGGACAAGAAAGTTTAGGAGCCCCTCAGAGTGGTAATGGATACGGTGTGGGATTCGGGTCTGGTTTTGGATCTGGAAGTTCAAAACCAAGCGGATTTGGTGGAAGTTCAGGAACACCAAGTTCAACTGGTTTTGGAAGTGGAAATGCACCTGGTAGTTATGGAAGTGGAAATAATGTTGGAGCTACTGGCTTTGGAAGTGGAAGTGCCCCGGGTAGTTATGGAGGTGGAAACAATGCAGGAACTACTGGATTTGGAAGTGGAAGTGCCCCGGGTAGTTATGGAAGTGGAAACAATGCAGGAACTACTGGATTTGGAAGTGGAAGTGCCCCGGGTAGTTATGGCAGTGGAAACAATGCAGGAACTACTGGATTTGGAAGTGGAAATGCTCCCGGTAGTTATGGAAGTGGAAACAGTGTAGGAACTACTGGATTTGGAAGTGGAAGTGCTCCGGGTAGTTATGGAAGTGGAAACAATGCAGGAACTACTGGATTTGGAAGTGGAAGTGCCCCGGGTAGTTATGGCAGTGGAAACAATGCAGGAACTACTGGATTTGGAAGTGGAAATGCTCCCGGTAGTTATGGAAGTGGAAACAGTGTAGGAACTACTGGATTCGGAAATGGCAACGCTCCTGGTTATGGCGGTAGCAGTGGATCTGCTCCAGGAACAGGTTTTGGAAGCAATCCGGGATCAAGCGGTTTTGGTATAGGTAGTGCACCTGGTAAATATTACTGTGAAAAATAAATAGTTAATTGTTTTCTATTTTCACGGTGCAATTTATTTTCAGGCAATTATGGAAGTAACAATGTTGGTACTCAAGGGCCAAATAGTTTTGGCAGTGGTGTTGGTGGTGGATCCAGGCCAAGTTATGGAGGTACCGGCATTGGTGCACCCAGCAGTGTAGGTGGTGGAGCTTCTGGTTCACAAGGACCTAGCAGTTTCTTTGGTGGAAACGGTGGAAGTCAAGGACCTAGCAGTGTTGGAGGTGGAAATGCAGGTGTACAAGGACCTAGCAGTTTCTTTGGTGGAAATGGCGGTAGTCAGGGACCTTCTAGTTTTGGAAACGGTTTTGGATCTGGAAACTCACCAGCTGGAAATAACGACGATGGTTCTTACGAAGGAGGTGACTTTTCTGCTATTCCCGGAGAACCTGGTACCGACTACCCAATACTATCCGAAATACCAAATACTTCATTTACTTGTAACCAGAGATTACCAGGATATTACGCTGATACCGAAACCAGATGTCAAGTATTCCATATATGTTCTAATAATATTAAATACGATTTCTTGTGTCCTAATGGAACAATATTCCATCAACAACACTTTGTATGTGTCTGGTGGAACCAGTTTGATTGTTCAACTGCTGAGAGTCTATATGGCTTGAACGCTAATATTTATGACTACTCAAAAGTAGGATCTCCAGGACAATCAGGCCCACAAGGTCCTATCGCTAACTTCCCCGGACAAGTTGGTCCTAATGGGCCAATTGGTAACTACCCCGGTTTATCTGGACCACAAGGACCAATTGCTAACTTCCCATCAATTTCTGGTCCACAAGGCCCAGTTGCAAACTACCCAGGACAATCAGGACCACAAGGACCAACTGCCAATTATCCAGGCCAAACTGGTCCCCAGGGTCCAACAGCTAACTACCCAGGACAGTCTGGTCCTCAAGGTCCAATTGCTAACTACCCAGGACAGTCTGGTCCTCAAGGTCCAATTGCCAACTACCCAGGTCAAGTAGGACCACAAGGACCAACCGCAAATTATCCAGGCCAAACTGGTCCCCAAGGCCCAACAGCCAACTACCCAGGACAATCTGGTTCTCAAGGCCCATCTGCCAACTACCCAGGACAAATAGGATCACAAGGTCCGACTTCCAACTACCCGGGACAATCTGGTTCTCAAAGGCCAACTTCCAACTACCCAGGTCAGTCTGGTCTCCAGGGCCCAACAGCTAACTACCCAGGACAATCTGGTTCTCAAAGTCCATCTGCCAACTACCCAGGACAGTCTGGTTCTCAAGGTCCAACTGCCAACTACCCAGGACAATATGGTCCACAAGGCCCAACAGCCAGCTATCCAGGTCAATCAGGTACTCAAGGTCCATCTGCCAACTATCCAGGTCAATCAGGTACTCAAGGTCCATCTGCCAACTATCCAGGTCAATCGGGTCCTCAGGGTCCATCTGCCAACTACCCAGGCCAGTCTGGTTCTCAAGGTCCATCAGCCAACTACCCAGGACAAATAGGATCACAAAGCCCAACAGCAAATTATCCATCACAGACAGGTGCGCTATTCCCGAGTCAACGTCCAAGTAGTTACCCAGGTGCACAAGCTACACCATCATACCCAACTACAGGTGTAAACAATAACGGTCGACCAAGTTCTCAAGGTCCGTTTGGAAGTTCAGGAACAACACCTTACCCCGGTCAAGGAAGTACTGTGGGATCATATGGTCCAAGCTCAACTTTAGCAGGTGTATCACCAACTTCTGCCTCATACCCGGGATCAACTTCCCTATCTGATGCGCAGTTTGTAAACTCATATAATAAGCCACCAGTACCAGAAAGGGAATATTTGCCACCATACAAAAAATGATGACCTAAGCTCAAAATTGCCATAATTTAGTTTTACTATCAAATTTATTACCTAGTGTTAAGCTTTTTTATATTATTTTTATTATTGAACATTATTAATATTACAATAGTTTATTTCGCTTATTTAAAGTCAACTATATTATAATCAATAATCTAAATACTATATAGAAGAGTATTATTTAAAAATTCACATAAATGTATTTTCATATCATATTATGTATATAATAGTCTTTTCGCAAATGTTATTGAATTATACTTCAAACATGCACTCAAAACATATTACAATGTCTTACTCGTAAATAACTACTTGTAAGGAGTGCGTTTTATAATTGCTTTATTCATACATATATTTATATTCAACAAAAATCTTAATACTTTTTGCATTTTTATACTTTTATATTATATTATAAGTAATCTATTAATCATATATCGAAAACTGTGTTACCATTACTATAAGCGATGTGAACAACATTATGAAATAAAATTGATTTTTAGTTTGCAAACAAATGTTTTAACTTTTAATTATGTAACGGATCTTACCTATGTCTTATAATGTATAATAAGACTACACAAAACTACTTCCATTTATAATACAAAATATTTCAATATTTCAATAATTGAATATAAAATATAGAATTATATTCCTTGGTAACAAAGTATAATATATATAAAGATTTGAGTTACTTAAAAGAAATATCATAACAATACACCAATGTATTATTTTTATTATTTTTATTTATATTTATTCAGAATAAAAATTTAAAATATGGTCTTATTATAGGTGAAAATAAATACCTCGTTCCACAATATATAGGGCAGCCATTGAGACTAGATCCATAATTAAGTAACAAAAGCATCATCAATCTCATAAAAGAAACAAAACTATAATTAAATAGGATTTGATCAAAAACTATATAATTCAATTGTAAATAATATAGAAAGCAAATTATGTACATAGTGTATAATTGTAATTACAGTGCCCTCCTCCAAAATGTAAATTAATAGTTTAAACCTAAACAAAAATTGTTGTATATTTTTTGTAATAATATCTAAATCAAAAATTATTTAAATTTAAAATTTAACTATAGCTGATAGGTCTACAATGCTGTCCATTTGAAACCATGTAAATATAATGTTAAATAACTAATATTTCGTTTTCTTAAACCAATAACACAACCTCGGGAACGATGATAAGTTTCTCGTAACTAGAAATCAGAATAAAAATTGTAAAAATGTAAAATTTATATTTTAAATCGAAAAAAAAGGAAGATGATACTGAAAATCTAATCAAAAGTCATAATACAACAAAATTAATATTTTGCAACAAATATCAATATAAAAATCATAACATTTTAATGCAAACATAATATTTTAGATTTAAATCAGAAAAAAAACAAATATCGATAGGTGAAATTGAAATTAAAATCAAAATTTTTCATTTTGATTTCAAGTCCTAGATAAATATGTCCAATTTTTCGTTAATCTTGTAATAGAGAACGTCATAGTCGTAATCTAAGGTATCTAAGATAAATAAAGGCTTTTGATATCACCAAATCTGGTAGGTATTTCAGAGACCATATTATTACTATAGTTGTTATGGTTTGTTTGTTTTTTTTCTATTCAGTGTAGGTACTTTACAAAATGAATGTTCAATAAAAACTTTTTTGTTAAATATTTCATTGTTTTAAATACTTTTTTTGACGATAAAAAAAAATAATATAAAATATAAATATTAACATTTATGATTATTTTATTACATACGAATCCACGTCTTTATAATTTTATTATAATAATATGGAACAATTAATTCTTGAATATTTAAGTAGCAATTCAGTAAAAAACAATTTGATATGTATAAGTATCAAGATCATAATAATATACAGCTTTAAAAGTGTTATCTAATTACACTATGCTACGAAAAAGATGCAAAACAATACATTTTTTTATGGCATTGCAAAATTTGAAGACATAAATGTTTACATAGGTTATATTGTTTTATTGTACATATATTGAATTGAAATTACATACAATACGAAAATACAATTAAAATCTAAAATAACTATTTTTACCTTTGTAGTCAATGTAGGCAATTAATAATTTAATTAAAGAACTTAAATTTATTATATATTAAAAAAAACATTTTTTTTCCTATTTATTATAGTTTAGAGTACCTAGAGTGCCAGTTTATACTTGTTTATCAACGACGTTTTAACTTGTAATTTGGTGTAATCTCTTCTGTGAGTTCGATAAAAATTGAAAAAATATAAGTTTTTTTATATAAAAGTCATAGACTTTATTTAAGTAAAAACATTCTTGTATCTATTTAATCTAGTCCAATATTATTAAAATGTAGCAAACAATATATATTTACAAGTATATAAATGAAATAATATAGTGAGCACAACAAATTTAGAACTAGACGAATTTTTGTCTTGACTATATACTACCTGGCCTATGTAGCAAAATATTTATTAAATAATAGTACACTTTTTTTTTGTTATGTTGTATTTTATTTTATTAAATTGTAAATAAAATAAATCATAATGTTATAATAAAATACAGACATATGTAGGTCATATATATATCATATATATATATATGTATTCAGGTCATATCTTCTCTGAAAAATAATCACTACCTATAGATTTTTGATAATTTCGTGTTAGGCCATCGATGTTATTCTTATGATTTTGAGCGGAGCGATGGATGCATTGATTTTACAATGATGTGTGTATGTTTATCGTCACCAAGAACCTTAAAAACACCTGTAATATTAAAAATATTTAGATTTTCAACTTCAATATTTTTTTTGGAAGGAATCTGCTTTATATTTTGGGACTTTGGTTGATAAAAAGTGAAAAGCAAAAATGCACAGTACTTTTCTTTGAAATTCTCTCACCACGATATTATTTTGGTCACCACTGTGTTTTATATCGGCTTATTGCCTAGCAGTTATGCTATACTTTTTCGGATACATTAAATCTAAAAATAGGAGTAAAAAATAAAAATATTTTAAATATTTTATATAAGAGAAAATATAAATGCTGAAATATATATATATATAGTTTATAAATTCTCCTAACAGAATAGTTAATACAAATTACATAAGAAATATGTTTTAGTTATTTAGAACATATTATATTATGAAAATTGTGGCACATTGAAAAAATTGAGAGAATCTCTAGACACTCGACCAAAGGAGTATAAAAAAAAGACGCTACCAACGACGGGTTAATAATTGAGAAAAATTGGAATTTTTATGCAAAACCAGTTTTTGACTCAATCTATTTTCTAATTTTGTTGTGAACTTAACCAAAAACATAATTTGCATATTTTCGGTATTTGGATGAATTTCCCCAAAATTTAAACTTGAATGCATATAAAAAATATTCGTGCTTATGGCGTATCTTTAATATTTTTTAATTACCATTAAAGCAATTTATAATGAACCTTGAATTAAATATTCAAGCTTTTTTATTAAGTGATAAAAATTGTATTGACAGTAATTAAAAAAAAATTACAACATTTTCTCATGGCTTTAAATAACTAAAAAAGTTTGATTATTGATTATTTTGAGCATTTTATCATGTTTTCGAAATTTTAAATATTTGGTGAAAATGTCAAGTTTAAAGTCAGTTTTTCTTAAAAATTCCTATTATTCCTTTAATTTTTTCTCAATACTTTTAAAAACTACTGGGAATTTTAAGTTTTGACCTCTCGAATGCACCAATTAGATTCACTTTTATATTATCTATACGGAATTTTAATTCTCTTCTCTCCAAAAATCATATACCTCGGCCTTGCTTTAGATCAAAGATAAACGTGGGCTCATCATATCAGAACCAAAAGTGTTGAAAGAAAGAGATTAATAGTAATCCAAACAATATTAAATTAAATTAATAAAAAGATTTTTAATACATTAAATAATAAACCATATAATAATAATATGAAATGTACTCAAACATGTATATCGGCAACGGGTAGCATATCTCGACTAACATAAGTAACTATATTATAATAATCCTATAGCTAACATTTGTAACTGCCGCATGCACATAAATAATATTGGAAATATGTCACCTCTGCATTTTCGCTTTCATACTAAATATGTAACTATATAGCTAATCTACAGTATGACAATACTACTCATGGTATACAATCTACGGGGTGATAACTAAATTATAAATTAATATTTCAACAAAAAGATTATCATTAAACCATCGTCTTCGCTTACTTAAACTCTTATTATCCAATAATAATCACACCTCTATTAGAATTCAACTGCTTATATACAAAACACTATTGAAACCACTATAGACCTACGGCCTTCAGCTTTGGGGCAATGCGAAAAAGATAAATACCTTGAAAATCCAAACCTTTCAAAATATTGCACTTAGAAAACTAATGAATACTCCACCCTACGTGCCAAATCATACAATACACACCGACTTAAAACTCAACACAATAAACGATGAAGCTAAAATCTTTTATAAAAGATTCCATTACCGTCTAAATAATCACCCAAATCAATTAATAAAAAACTTGGCCACTCCCACAATTCCTGTAAATCCTCCGAGACGTCTGAAGCATAAGTGGTGTCGAGATCTCTTAAATTAAATTTTAAAATATATATATATATAAATAAATAAGTAAATACATAATTATCAAGCTAGCAGAAAGTGCTGTCAATGGGTTGGCTTCTTTCAACAAAACCTCATGATATGTTAACCTTTATCAAATTTTTTTATTGTGTCTAGTATGGATACAGATTGTTAATTACTTTTGAAAATAAAAAAAAATTTTTAAAAAGAAATATACCCTTCACTGTAAATACAATATATTCATAACTACTGTCAGAATCTAAAAAGTTTACCAGAAAGTGAAATAGATTCATTATGAGCGTTTGAAGTCGTTAGACATTAGACGTTGTCATAGAACGATTTTCTCATTTTATTCTAATTCAAAAACTATTAACTGTATAGGTACTTGCAATTTTTAACAAACATATATTTTGTCATTTTTTTTTATTTTAAGCTATTTATGCAACTAAAATTTTGTTTTAGTTTTTATTCTATTTTATACATTCAATAACATTTTCAACTGCAACTTTTTCTGAAAAAAACATCTCACCTTACTGTATGACTAATAGTAAAATAAATTATCTACTTTAATAGCTATAATATCATAAAATAATCTTAGTAATAGGTTGTTTTCCTCCAGAATCGTTTTTCGTATGTAATTATTTTATATCGTGTAATTCAAATTTAAGACATCCATCACAGTGACCCGTTCGACAATTAATGAACAGCAGAGTGGTACGCACTGGCCAAGGTACAATCGACACCTACTATACAGCAGAGCAACTTCCTCGGTTTTCTTGCGAGGACGATGATCATAATATTTAGGTACTTTTTATAAATAGGAAATAGGTTACCAATTCAATATGCTGTACGACAATTGATAATCAAGTTTTACTAAGTATACACAATAATTTTATGTTTTATTTACAATATTATGCAATTTACATAATACATATAATGTGATAACATTATTACATGGCATATAATGTAACTCGACTCATAATATGAGTAAATGAAAAATATTATAAAAGTATCATTATTTTTAATTCATACGAACTAATTAATAATAATATGCGTTGAACGTAACCGTATGTTTCATACGTACATACGCATTTACATTGCTAATGAATAAATGAAAAAGATAAGCAGTTTTTAACACATAGATTAAAATTGTTATAATAATATTCTCTCTATCAATCGATGGTAAAGTTTTTAGATTGATAGTCGATGTTTGTTACAACTTGAAAGAAGGTATGTAGCAAGTAAGTACTTAAAATAATTATCGACAGGTATGCAAAATAAGGTTTAAACTTAATGTAAAATAAAATAACGTGCAAAAGATAAAAAGAGAAACACATTTTAACTTAAAAATATAAATACCAAAAATACATGACATACACCTGTATACAATTGGTAATTAAAATTAAATCGAATCTTAACAGAAATCTACTTTTGATATATGAGCAAAATTATATAATAACATATGCATACAACATGTTGCAACATGTATACAAAGTGCACGAATATAAGTCTTAGGTAAGCCTAAAACAGTAACACTCCGATTCGCCGAGGACTAGAGTCAATTTACATTATGCGTATATTGTCGAACATTTACAATTAATAATATTCTGTACTAGGCGATGGCAACTTACTTTTAAACGCTAAATAGACATGATAATATAATGATACCTAAATGCAACGACCGTTATAAAAGATGACTGACTACCGTCTGTTAAAAATGTTAAACGTGGAAAAATACACAAAGATATTATTTTTTTATTACAGCGATAAGATGATGGATTTTAATTATGCGTTCTGATTTTGGTTGTACAATATCTCATGCTATTATATTACTCTTGATATTGTATGAAATGTATAAATATATTTTTAGAACAGTATCTTTAAATTTATTACTACATAAAAAGTAGTCAATTAACATCCTCGGGGTCGTGCATTGTGTAAATAATTTTCTTGTCACGATTAAATTTTAAATTTTTGAATAATTAAAAATTATAACTAGTCGGCCATGATTGAAATTGAGCATTTCGCGTGATAAGTAAAGAAAAATCAGATTGGGGGATATAATCGTGATGCATTATTTATTGAGTATGAATTGTAAAATGTAATTTTTTGTCCTATTATTATGGTTTATCGACTTTGATCATTTTTTTTATAATCCCAAACCGATTACAAAATATAAAATATTTATATTAACATTATAAAGACAATTCGTAAATAATTTGATTTTCACACGGTTATGACACAGGCAGAATGGAAATACCGTCGATGGATGAACGTCCAACTACGACCATTTGGATGCTATCGAGTATAGGGACTTGAGGAGTTCAACTGCTCGGGCGTCAGAATCATCACTCAGCCCTGGGCCCACATCGTTAGCTCCCTGCCAAGTATTCAAGGTCATTGGAGTAGTGGAAACAGGGGTTGACCTACTCCTGTGTACAACTCTTCTCCTGGTTCCTTTTCTAGATTTCTTATACTGTCCTTCGGGTAGTGGTGAACCATCTTCCTGTATTCTCTGACCGAATGGGATTTCCGATGGGGATGACGGCAAGGGAGTAGATGTCGGGAATGACGGCAAGGGAGTAGATGTCGGGAATGACGACGAGACGTCATATGCTTGATCAGTACTCCTATTGTCCAGTAATGCTTCGATTAAATTGATTCTAGTCTGTTCAGGGCTATTCTCTTTGTTCGAGTCATTCACCAACAGTAAAACCAACCTGTAAAGTAAAATAAGAGCTTAAGTATTTTAAAAAAACACTATGATAACAAAAAGAATATTTTTTTTTTTAGTTTACCAGTTATATACAAATATTTATTGTGATAATGCTAGATAATAGATAAAGATAAATGATAATAATTAAATAATGTCCCTATAAAGTTGCAATGTTATTATGTACCGAACACTCAATAAAGGACCATGTGTATCGTGAATTAGTGAATTAATTAATGTTGACTGATAAACTAAATTAATTAACGTGACAGTTATTTTTAGTAATGAGAAAATTGCCACATTGAAGATACAATAGAAAAATGCAATATCATTTTGTATTATGTATTTACTATTTAAAAGTATTCATGAAGCTATTAATTGACTTAGAATTAAAATAATATAAGTAAATTATTTAAAAAGCATATTATATTTATTAATGGTTATTTCAAATTGAATGCAATTTATAATTTAACCAATTATATCATCAAAAACTGTTGAAAAGTGTTCAAGTTTAAATAATTATAAATAAGTGGGAGTTATTACATATCTGTTGTGATTATATTATTTTTTACTTACTAAAAACGAATAATGTATTATACAGGTGTTTTACAATATTTATACATACATATATTTTTTTTACTATAGGGAACCCGCGGCCACATAAGCCATTAGGTGTGGGGTGGTACAGTAAGGAGTTTTTTTGTATAGCTTTAGTAGGTTTTTAACGTTGGTAGGATTGTAACACGTGTTAGTGTATGTGTGGCAAGGATGTGTTGCTAAGAACCCTAGTGGTCACCCATCCGGGAGTTAGCAAAGTCCGCGACTCACCAAGCCACATTTATATATATTACTTTCATACATAGATGCCTATGTTAAATTTTTCATACATTGGGGCCCTAGTTAAATTTTTCATAGGTACAGGTAATCATTATTTTACCATTGTTTCTGAATTTGCACTACTAATAAATTATGCAATTTTTTATAAAAATTATTACCATGAAATTTTCATGCATTCATCCCAAACTTTTAATATATAAAAAATAAACGAAGTCTATAATATATGTACATAGCAGTCTTGTATAAGATAGTTTTTTGAAGAATTCAAGTGCAGATATAAATACTTATTTTGAAATGTATTTAAATAGTCGGCAAAAAAAAGTATTTGAGCACTGATACAAATACTTTAAAAAAGCATTTATAGATTATTTCAAATTTTTTACAAAATATTTTTTTTACTTTATAGATCAACTGAACCGATTTTCATATTATATGTTCATTTTATGGAGTTAATTTTTTAAACTATTTGTTGGAACTTACAATACTCAACTGTTTTAGCTTTCAAATTATTTTATTTCTGGTTCAGTATAATTCACAGTAAAAAAAATAATACTATACATATTCTCAATTATCTCATTATTTTATGTAATCAAAAGTAAAGTAGAAAATATATAAAATAAAAAAATGATTATAGTATTTGATGTTTAATAATTTAATATAGATGCTTTGAGTAAGTATTTTAATACTTTTATTCAAGTACTTCCCAACACTGTCAACACTGATAAAAAGGGGCTTCATTTTATTTTAACTTAAAACACTGTTCCGTGAGCATTCATTAAATTGATGTACTGTATGGGCTTATTATATTTGCTATTAATTCCTCTTAACTATTATTTATTATTAGTTAAACTCTCATTATAACTATACAACATATGCATAATTTTAAACATTATATTTAATTTTTATCATAGAAGTTTAATTGAAAGAATTCTAGACAAGTCATATTATTAATGTGGTTATTTTAAGAGTCTATTACCTTTTAACTGTATCATTAACTTGAGCAGTTTTCATAACATTCATCAATACTCCTGCCTCAGACGCATTCAAGTGACTGAACATTTCTTTGGCCCTTTGTACAATTACAGTAGTTTCTAAGTCTTCTGCGGTGGTAGTGAAGTACACTGGCGACAGAGTGGTAGATTTTATGTCCTGCTCAGTGTCTATTAATGGAGAAACTGTCCATGTCAACGTGGAGGCGGCTGGTTTGAGAGTTTTCCCAGTTTGAATGCTATTATCTCTACTTGAATAAAACGAATGACTTCCAGCCAATTGTAGCTGTTCGCTATCTTCCAGTGGTGCATATTCTTGTAGACCAGCTTTTGATGTTTCAGTATACTTCGATGTGATTTCTATTAATGGCGATGAGGTATATTGTGGAATAATGGTTGATAAGTCTGCCAGTGCATTAATACTTTGTGTCATACCGTTGATTTCAGCTGCTAAATTTGGGCTTGTTGTACTTGGTTCTGTAGGTTTCCCTCGTTGACGCTTTGTATCGTCCGAAAAATCCAACACTTCTTGTTCTTCGGTAACGCTAGTCTTAACACTTGGTGGTTCCGTAGGTCTTACTTCGGCTAGTATTTTACGGAAATTCTCTGGATCGTCCAAGTATGCAGTTAAAGCACGCGTAAATACTGCAGCCAGTTCCCTCAATTCCGCCGATGAACGGTTTAAATTCAATCCTTGAGCAAATCCTAGGTTTACCGAATTTGTAGGATTTTCTACAGGCTTACTAGTGTCTGCTAACTTTAAACTGATCATTGATTCTTTAACGGTATCATTTCTGAAAAGCTTATCATATGCTTCTTTTGTATTCTTTGTCAAAACCGCCGGTATATGTAAACTATCAACCGGTGTAGTGGTTTCGACCGAATCAATAGTAGTTGAACTTAACCCACTGGTGTATGCTCTAGATGATTGTTCGAAACGATTAAACTGCAAGTCACTAGCAACAGTGGTCAGTTGTGGATTTTTCACATTATTAAAATACACTGCAACGGAATTTAGTTCATCGTCAGTGTTCGTTTGTGAAGGGTAAGTGTTTTGCCCATCCAAGTCAAAAAGTAGATTATTATCTGTCAGTGATTGTAATGAGTTTATCATATTCGGGATTAATGTCTCTCCGGACGATGGTAATGTGGAATTATCGACCGATGCATAGTCGAATACTGTAGTCATAATTGGAGCAGCATGAGTTGAGCTATCTCTTGCGACAGGAGTATCGGGTGATCTTTGATATTCGACAAATGAAAAAGCTCCATTTGGTGAATAATCATTTGTGTAAGAACTTGTTACCGGATACGTGGTAGGTGGTACATTTGTCTGAGGAGTTTGTGTGTAGTAATTTTCTGGTTGAAAATTAAAATGAGGGGAGTTTTGGCGGCCTACAAATGAAGCTGATTCCGCGGGTACTTGGCTTTCCTTGGCTGGGATGGTTTGTTCATTATCGGCTGGAAAAACAGTAGTCGGTTGTTGATAAGATTGTTGAGATTCGAATAGATTAGGTTGGACAGTATCAGACTCAAACTCTGGGTTCCAATCTGGTTGTATCGTTGTTATTGGTTGTGAGTTGTAACTATTTGATTGGAAATTATTGACAGCTCCATTCCAGTTAGTTTGTGGTACGGTAGTTGTCACTTGTTTTTGAGAATTTGAAGTCCCAAAGTGGTCGGAACCTTGATTATTCCAGTTTACTGGTGTCGGTGTTGTTGATGGTGATATTTGATAATTTTCAGTTTGTACATTTTTGGAACCTTGATTGTTCCAGTTAGCTTGAGCGGCTACTGTTGTGAACGGTGATTGATAGTTATCAGATTGGTAGTTACTACTACTACTTTGACTCCAATTAGGTAGTGTTGTTGAAGGTGTATACGACTGATAGTTGTTAGTTTTAAGACCACTGTTATCGTTATTATTCCAGTTAGTTTGAGTTCCTGCTGTAGTGGGTACTGTTTGGTAATTTCCAGCTTGATAATTATTTCTACCTTGGTTCCAGTTTGTTTGAGACACGACAGTGGTTGGCTGTGGTTGGTAAGCTACTTGTGAACTGGTAGCACCTTGAACCGTTTGAGCACTTGTGGTGAATTGTGGTTGGTAACTAGATTGGAAATTACTAGTTCCTTGAACGATGGATGGTTGTGGAGTCGTTACAGGTGGTGCTTGATAAGAACTAGTTTGATAATTTTTATTAGCAGCCTGGTTCCAGGTTGGCTGTTCAGTCGTAGATTGTGCTTGATAATTGTTATTAGCAGCCTGGTTCCAGGTAGGCTGTTCAGTTGTAGATTGTGCTTGATAATTGTTATTAGCAGCATGATTCCAAGTTGGCTGTTCAGTTGTAGACTGAGCTTGATAATTGTTATTAGCAGCCTGGTTCCATGTCGGCTGTTCAGTGGTAGACTGCGCTTGATAATTGTTATTAGCAGCCTGGTTCCAGGTCGGCTGTGCAGTTGTAGACTGTGCTTGATAATTGTTATTAGCAGCCTGGTTCCAGGTCGGCTGTGCAGTTGTAGACTGTGCTTGATAATTGTTATTAGCAGCCTGGTTCCAGGTCGGCTGTGCAGTTGTAGACTGTGCTTGATAATTGTTATTAGCAGCCTGGTTCCAAGTCGGCTGAGCAGTTGTAGATTGTGCTTGATAGATACTGCTTTGATGGTTGCTATTCCAACGCGGCTGTGCTGTTGTCGAAGGTTGTGTTTGATAATTTCCTTGGTTCCAGTTCTGTACAGGTGATTTGGACTGTGGATAGTAATTATTAAAATTAGTTTGTAACTGTTTTCCGGCGAATGAACCCGTCTCAGCTGGAACTTGATTTTCGTCTCTTGAATAGTCACTAAAATATCTGGCGCGGTCAGGCAGTCGGCTTTCAGAATTGAAAACAGTTGTACTCGGACCAAACGAACGCTCTGTTACAACGCGACCACTATCACTTGTTTGTGTTGTTGTTTGTACTTTTAACATAGCTTTGGCCAATGTTTCAGCACGCTCTTTAAAAACCCGCTGGTCAGATGCAAGCTGTTCTGCACTCTCTTCGTATAATTCGATTGATCTTTCACAATCCACACGGAACCACCAGTCACAAATTAAATGTGACTGACGAAAAACTGTACCATTTGGACACAAAAATGATACTTTCCTTCCGTTATCACAAATGTGAAATACCTGAAAAAAATGTTTTCATTAATTGATTTGGAAAAAAAATTAAATGCCCACAATGAGTAAATGTACTTAATTATTTAAATACTTTTAATTTTGATAATTAATAATAAACGTTATGTAACTATAATACTTCATATGCCAGTAATATAAAAAAAAAACTGATGGTATTTATACTTAACTTTATTTTATTTATAACACATTACACATTGAAATTATTTTTGAAAACTTAAAAGTGTATTAAGTGCTATTTTAATATCCCTAGTTAATAAATTATTTATATACAAGCAATATTGCCTTTCGGATTAAATTTATGCGCACCAAGAATCCATTAGACGCTTTATAATAGGACGTATCTATAAAATATTGGCTTTTTGTAAAATGTAGTTAATTATATTTTATAAAAAGTGTTACCAAAATTGTCCCAAATCATTTCTATGAAAATTAAAATTCAAACTTTGCATTTTTGAAAACTTCAATTAAATGTATCCGATCCATACACAGTTATCGAATTAATCTTATTAAACCTGATTAGTTTTAATTTGTTGATATCGGATCACTATTTTCAACACCACTAAGGCAGTAACTGTATAGGCAATACTTGATTTATATACATGTATTAATTACGTAAACATGTATTACTAATAATTTACTATCAGCTATTGTTGTAACTAAAGTTATTTATTATATAATATTATATAAATAGTTGTTTTAAGTACTACTGAAAAAATGTAAAAAAAATTATTCTTGTTTTTGAATTTAAAAAATACTGTTGCTTATGAAAAGTATATTATTTACCTGACAATCAGTTTCGGGATCTGCGTAGTAACCAGGTTTCTTAACCTTCTTACAGCTGAAATCGGTATGGGGTATTGATGGCAATATTGGAAAGTCAACACCAGGACGTCCCATAACTCCTATAAAAAATACAGGATAGTATTATCTAAAACTAAGTAGTGCCTATAAATAGCACTTGCATGTTATTATTTATCACGAAATGTACTCTTTCGACAATCACGATATTATAAAGAAAAAAAAGAAAAAAACACCTTGATACTCTTGTAGTTCCGAGTTATTGTCTAGATCATCAGTTCCCAATTTCCTGGGTGATCTCTTATAATTATCCCGCTGTCCTTCGAAGTTCTTTTCCAGTTCATCGCTGTCTACCAAGTATGTAGCCGCCTTTAACGCTTCGGCCACCTGCGGTAGACTCTCTTTGGTTGGTATCGGTAATTTGACCTATAACAATTTACCGTTCACGTTATATATTTCAACCAAGACATGTCATTTATTACGATATATGTACACATAATTATAAAAAAAAAACAACAATATAATTGGTTGTGGTGTTTGGCGGGGGTGTGGAAGGGGATCCATCGAACTTAAACCGACATTGCACCGTTTTGGGATGGTTTCGTGCCGCGAGGTGGTTACTCGGTCACGACAAACCGATATTTCTTCAGCTCGTCCGGGAGAAGGTAAAAACTTCGATGGGAACCGAGTTTGTTAAATAATAATAATAATAAAAAGCATGAAGAGACCTCGCACGAATGTCGATGCTACTCGCAGTGGTATATTTATTATCCGGTGTAGACTTTTACTTAGCTCCAACCGTACTGTGGAATATACGTTATTGGTGTGAGAGTGAGTCACTCTGGGGTTGTCCTCGGAGTCAATAATAACAGCTAACACAATATTATTATGTGAAGGAGCACGCAGTTTAACACTGTTTACACACTTGTTAAATTGTACAAGCTTATAATTGAAAAATATGTACTAAAACGTATTAGCATCTTGTTGTATTCTTTAAATGTTTACCTCATGAGTAAGTACTTCTTTCATAAGTATTTACACAGGTCACAGAGTCGACGGGTATAATCTTACATAATACATCTAGTAATACCTATGGACATTGATGCATCCCAAGTTCCGTCTAATACATATTATAATTATATCAAATTAAATTACTTGTAAATAGCGTGGGACTTGAAAACAGGAGAATTTTACAGTAATAGTCAATTATCCAAATTGAAAATATTTTATAAACGTGTTATTATACTATTTTTTTTTTGTCCTTAAATTAAAAAACCTCCTTTAATGTGTATATAAAAACGTTTTGACGTAGTATTATAATATTATTACTATACGTATTATACAACGCGCGTGGTATAAATTATAAATAATCTATGACCCCTCGTTATTTACAATTCCTATTCCACACTGTGAAATATTATTAATAAATATGATAATGAATAACCAATAATTTAAGTGTCATAGTTTTTGTGCAGCGTTAGTATTGACTCTGTTTATTCAAGTTATTTAACATTTCTTAAGAAAACGAATAAATGAGTAGAACCACACATTTGTTATAAATTTAGTTTATTACATCAGCATTTGGATCACTGTTTTGTTTTAAGTGGTAAGCCAATGCCATAAGACATAAAATTATTTCGTTCTGTTCTTTGTTATCAGCATAATTAGTTGTTATATCTCGTTCCTGATTAGAAGTAATTTTTTGGGGACTGGTAGTTTGACTCATGTATGGTGTACGACCACCCCTCATCAAAATAATAGTAATAGTATTTTATGTTTCTTCTTGAATATTTGTTATATTTTCTAGAAACTTCCAAATATTAGAACGACGAGTTAATGAGACTTTTTCTAATTTCAAATGAAACCTTCTAAAACATTGTTGGTAATTTGTCTTCGGCTTAATATAAGTTCATATAATATGTTCCAAATTTCTGGAGGGACAGCTTGTCTCTTACCACGCGCTGATCGTCCGCAAATAGATTTATGTTGATTTAAGTAGTAGTAGTAGTATTGAAGTAAGTAGCAAAGTAAATAACGCTTTAATCTCAGTTATTCATTAAGTTATCGACAATTTCTTACAAGTCCTCAAATGGAATACCATATTAATGGTAAAAAGTAAAGATAATATTAGCTCTAATATTTTTTTTAAATTAAGTGTTTTGGACTGCAGTACTGCACGGATGGACTAAACATTAATTGGATGAAAAAATATACTAAAATGGCATAGAACTAACATTTTTGGATCAAAATTCTACTAACTGTTCCAATAACAGAGATATAGATTTTACTAGAATATCCTTTATCATTTTCTTGATTTCAAACTTATTTTATCGATGTCTTTCAAAAAGTAATGTTCTTTCTTTGAGTCTCGAGTAGGTACAATATACTTTTAAAGTGCAGAGATTTGAATAAATATTTTTTTAATTATGTTAATGCAATAAATTATATACAATTTTTTTTATTAATATTTGAAAAGATGGAATATATAACTATGTTTCTACTACAGAAAAAATATTATAAATATTTTTAGAATGTAATAGGTACCTATTATTACCTACTATACTGAGTATGGTAAACTAATATTTCAAGTCAATAATACAAATTCTTCATCTTTAGGTATACCATGTTATTTAATACTTAAAAGAACCAATGTAATTTTCTGAGGTTAAAGCTATTATTCATCAATCATTATGTCTCTGTTAGTAGACATAGACAATTTAATAAATAAACATACAATTTCAAATTTTAAATGATAGGCTAATACTCAATCTCTTTTTGACCCGATGATTTCGACAGATAAGCGGTGACGAAATAGGTCTAAGAAATTTTCTAAAAATCACAACATATTTTGTATACACTGTCATAAAGCGAAGGGTCAAAGACATATTTAAAATTTGTACGTTAAAATTAAAAAATAATTATTCACCACTTTCTTGCATTACTTTAACGAAATAAGATTCAAGACTTATAAGTTAAAGATAAGGCCAGGATTTTTATATACATTGTACATTATTCTACAATTGCCTATCCGGGCTAACTAACTTTGAACAATTATAAATAAATAATAAATATGTTAATGAAATGTAATGAGCATGTATTCTACAGCCAATTTTTGTCATATTGAGTATTTTAGCATATTTTCAGAGTTGATATTAGGTGACTTACTTATTTCTAGGTAATAACGTAAAGTTACATAATATTTGTTATTTTAAAATCATCAAATTAAATAATTCGAATTTCTCTCAGTTTGATTGTAACTAAACTGTATAGCCTAAGATATTTTAAAGATTAACCGAATAAACGCATCATATTCTGAATAATATTTTGTATAATAATTATTTTATCATTTGCTATTAACGTCATTTTAAATGTTTCGTAAAAATAGGTAAGTTAAAAAAATCACATTATAGTTACAATTTCTTCATTTTTAAAATCTTATTATAATTTTACAAGTTTTGTTAGTTATTTAAGTGTCCAAAATAATAATATACGCATATCTTATATTTGTTTATGTATCTTCTTTGCATACCATTTTTAAAAAATCTGTGAGTATAGATAAATGTATATTCTATTTATTTTTTTGCATTAAAATCTGTGCCCTGCCTTATAATGCTAATTTTAATAGTCAGGCTACAGGTCATAGTATCTCACTTTTTATTTAAAACGGAGCAATTACTTACGCTATTTCATTTAATTGTATAACTTAATAGCCAGTGCAATAGAAAACCCGCCCAGATTTCACCAAACTTATTTTTTCAATCGTTTTTAAATCAAAAAAAAAAGATTTCTTGAATCATTTATATTAATTATCATCATACAGAAAATATTAAGTACCTACATATATCTAATAAGTTAAAAAAAAATATATATATATGTAGGTATAAGTGATATACATTTATAAGGAAAAAAATGTTTTTATTATTCTTTATTTCACACTACATAACATTATAATTTTCATGTACCTACTTCCCAGGAAATTACGTGTTATTAAAAATACCTGTGTAAATATATTATATAATTGTTTTGGACCTATGTATTGTAAAAAAAAAAATTAAAATATTTTTTCTCATGATTGATCGATTAATCATAAAGTAAGTCACGAGGTAAACCAAACATATACTTTAGGTGCTTATGTTATCTTGTTTACTATCTGCATGGTAAACTACAAAAATGTTTCTCATACTGAGAAAATCTTTGGCTTAGATAAAGTATAATATTATAAGTATTTCGATGTTTTTAATAAAATTAAAGGTTGTTATTTAAGTATTATATCTTTTTTCCATATATACTGATACGTATATTTTTCTACCTGTTATAAATGTCTACCTATAACTTACCTACTTGGCAATTATATAATATAAAGTTCTACTCGGGAAAATAATATAACGAGTAGTGAAATCACACTAAAATTCACCGTTATACCTACTGTTTTATATGATTTTTGCATGGACACGTCTTATTACACCCCCAGCATAATATTAAAATAATAATAAAAACGTACCGTTATTATACGTCTCATTAGACGTTCAAATATGAAATATTTTAGAAAATTGTAGTTAAAATTTTACACGTATTAATAAAGTGTTGTATAATATCGTCGTAGGTTGGGTAATGGGAAGTTAACTTAGCGAGTAGGTACCTACGATTGTTGACTACCGTTAAAAAAATATTCATATTATCATATATTATGCAGCACCCCAATATATGTAGCTATGTGAATATATTTATTTATAAATGGCGTTAAATAATAATTCATATTATGGTAACTGTATTCGGGTATTATTATTTATTACCTTCACAATTTACATAATGTGCAACATTGTAAGACCATCTTTTTAGTGTACCAAAAACCATCAAACTTCACCCAATAATATAATATAGCGATGATGGCTGGCTTGTCGTCATTTAATAGTTAAAAATAATATGTAGTATTATATATAGTACTATATACCCACGAAAACTTTACAGTTGGATAGGCTTATAAATCTTCACAATGTGTAAATATATCCTTGAAGAAAAAATGTTGGGACCAGGGTAGGCTAGGTATAGCCCGAAAGTTGTGGACTGTGTTGTGTGGAGCCAACTAAAGGTTACCTTAGTAGTTAGTTGTTGTATATATAGAGGTAAAGAGAGAGAATGATTTTTATATTATGCATTCTTTTCAAATCCGAACTTTAGATTCTGAGCAGATTGATGAAAGTATATTGATTACAACGATGTGTGTTTTTAATTTTTATTATAATTATTCTTTTACTTTTATGTTCGTCAACATGATCTTTTGGATCTTAATATATATCTGAATAATAAATAACTATTATTTTTTTTTAATGTGAATTTAAGTTAATATAAAAATCCAGCCAGGAGCGTAAGTCCGGAATGTGTATATTATATTATTACAGCACTGTTTTAAATACGTATTATTTACG